AAACGCTTGTTGTCGTAACTCGTTCTCATGTTTTCTTTCCTCAGTCGTTTTACTTCTACGAATGAAAACATGCTTAGAACCAGCATCTCGAAGAAAGTGTGCATCAGAAAGGGCTCTATACCAGTGAGATTTTGATGGAAAGACAACTTTGACCAGACGCTTCTTTTTCGGATCGGTTTTTGCCGATTCGAAATACTTCTGATGGACGGCCTTCTATGTTAAGGACGTCAAGAATATTACTAACTTTGCTTTCTAGATCTTTTTGTCGATTTGATGCAAGGAGGGTTGTCTGCTCATCATCTAGACCTGCTACCACAATCGATCGAGAACGTTTTTCAGCTCCTAGAGATTCGGAATATTCTTTTGGAATCTTTTCAGAAAGAGCGATGAGCATTTGGTTAATGTGAGGATCGCGGTTTTGTTCAATAATGTGTTGAATGAGGGTGGCGGCAGTCATATTTTTGAAATTTGCAGTACTAGCTTGAGTAGTGCTGCTAATACCTACGTTATTTTGGATTGAAGTGGATGGGGTGAAAAGCGTAGGGGTTTGGGGAAACTTCTTAGTGCAAGAGTGGTGGGCTTTCGGTGTACTTCCTTTGGCAGGAGTACTCTCGACCTTCTTTGAATTCTGTTCTTTCGATGATGAAAAAGCTTTTGATGGCATGCTTCAGAATCGCAAAGTAATACGAAATATGTTGAATTTCTTGACAAAAGTCAAAAATAAACTTGCAAGAGATGCCAATACGTAAGTTGGATGAGTGTTGCTGAGAGCACGACCGCCTCCGGTGAGTGAACGAACTGAACTTCTATATAAGGTTAGCCTTCCAACCGGGACCCTGAACTCTGATCAATCTGATATCCGCTATACTGTCGTTCCTGTGAGCTGATTCCGCTGATCGGGAAGGTACGGTACTTTATCTGCCTATTAATTATGTGATGGTTAGCTGGTCTCGAAGGTCTCGTAGGGTAGGGAGACATTTGGTCGGATAAATCGTGAATTGGTTTCCACCTTTTTAGGCTCCGAAGAAGGCGAAATCGCCGAAACGTTAGCCTACGGAATCGATATCAACCTCGTGTGCTGTTGAGTCAAGTAAATTGGTACTGTTTTTAGGCCGAGGTTTATCGGAGTCGAACATGGCAAGACTTCAAAGGAAAACACCGGGATTGGCCCGACTAGTATGAGGGATACCACCAGGGAAATCGTAAGGTCCGTAACTCAGGGTCAACCGTCACGTTCGAACATTTTCGGGATTTTTGCGACCCCCTAGCTCTCGAGGGGGTCCAGTTGCGACCCCCTGTTTTTGTTAATAAGAGTGCTAGACATGAATCCGTTGCGCCAGAAAGCGTCTGCGCGTCGTCGCGTCGGCCTTGGAGCGCGGCAGGTATCACCCGGGCGCTGGAAGAACGGGACGCGGCGAAGAAAAAATTTTAGAGGGGAATAACTTTCTTGGGACGTATTTTTTTGACTTGTTGAGGTAGATTTTGATTGTGCCTGAGGTGCGCTTCAGAAAACTACAAGGATTGCCTAACTCTCCGGAAAGTACTTCTGTTAGAAGTGGAAAACCCAAAATTCTAAGAAGGCGCACCTTCAACTTTGAAGGCCCATAAAATCTTTCGTATGCGACATTTTGGAAATCTGTAAAAAGTTTCAGAAACTTCAAATATTTCTCTAACAAAACAGTATAAAAAGTTTAGTGATTGTCCCCTTTTTCAAAAAATTGTCCCGTTCGAACATTTTTCGTGCAAAAGCGAGTTTTTGGGCTTTCAGCGACCATAACTCACTTCATTTTCATTTCTGTGATGCACACAACATTTTGGGGGTTTTGCCGAACACTTTTTTTGAAATCGCGAGTTTTTGGGCTTTAAGCGGGCATAACTCACTTCATTTTCATTTCTGTGATGCACTTTTTTCATGGGGTGAAAGTACAGGATTTGCTCTTTCTAACAAGCCCAAACCGTTTTTCAAATTCATTTTTCGAGAAAATCACACGTTCGAACATTTTGTTCCCATAGGTTTTTGAGCAGCACATGCGAGTTTTTGAGCTTTCAGCAATAATAACTTCCTTCAAAGAGCTTGTTGGGAGGGCGAAGACATTTTTGAAGACTACGAGATTTCTGCTTTCTTATGTGTTTTACCGTTGTCTGGAAGAATCGTCCTCAGAAAATTAATTTCAGCCCCGAGAAGTCAAACCTTTCATAGGGATGCATTCAACTGTTCTTTATTCCTCAAGGAAAACACCGTAATTTGCCTAAAACTGTCTCTCTGTGCATAATTAATCGAATCTAATGCGGTCTGCACAAACAATTCTTGCCCTCGGATACGCCACGCACGCGCCTGTGGCTGGCAGTCCTCGAAATTGCGACCCCCTTCCGACCAAAATGCGACCCCTTCGTTCGAACAGTTCGAACGGACGGTTGACCCTGCCGTAACTACTTAGATCACACCAGCTCCGTCGCGAAAACTGCGCGGTTAGGGCGCTATCCTTACGGGCCGGCAACCATCGACCCAATTTCCAACGCTTCCCACCCACCGCGAGAGGTGGTGAGATCAGCGTGCATTGATGTAGAGATCAGCGTGCTCTCTCAAACGACGTGCTCTCTCGCGTATTTTGTCTTCTTTGACCGCCCTTTCTCGCCATCGTACCACATCCGACCCTATTGAAGGTTAAGGCCTTAATTTCAGCGCAAAGATTTCTCTTGCTTTCCTTCCACTTTCAGGTCGTTCCGCAGCTAAGGTATCACTACAGAGCGCTGATAGCACTAGTTCAATCCCGGAGTTTGTTTAGGTACTGAAACAAAACAAGAAAAATCTATTCCTCATGACACTGTGGAACCATCCATTGCTAAAGAGATTCGGAGAATTCTCCAAGCTCTTCGATCAAGGGTTCTTCCATATCCACTTTATAGCTCTCATCTCGCGCGAACCTCATGTCAGCCTGTCCCTATCTCTCTAGAAACCACCTTCCAGAGAAATGAACCGCATTCCAGCCATCATGAGATCAAAATCGGCACCCAATTTTTTGTATAAGAATTGAGTTCCACAAGAAAGACACCACCCATCGGCTTAGCAATATCTTGCTGATCAAAATGGTTTCATGCTGGATGTGAAAGGAAGAAATT